GGGGGGGGGAGGAGAGGGTTCATCAGAATTATTTTTTACATATACTTCAACCTAATGAAATAAAAAAAAAATATTTAATGAGCTATATTGAATCTGAAGGCATGTCTGCAATATATCATGAATGCAATGTCGTCTACTTTACCGTCTTTCATCTTTTAGAACCCAAGTGCTGCTTTCATGATCAATGACGGAGTACAGCGGTCCTTTCAGGAAGGGCTTCTGCTCCTTTAATGAGATAGTTATGTGAGTGGGAGCAAAGTGGATCTTGATGTCGTCTCTGGTTGTGCCTTCGGGTAGGGCACATGTAAAGGTCACATAGTTTGCCGTCTGCTGCCAGACATACAGGGGATCTATAAAACAATTCCAAGTCAGAGAAGACATTATAAGAACACTAACTTGACACTGCAGTCTCCCCCTTAAAGGGAATCTTTAGACTTTTCAAGCATTCATTAGATATAGGTGTAAAAGAGATCAGCTTTATATACATTTGTTGTTGTAGGTAATTTTTGTAAATGTTGCTTCTATGTACAGTTTGTATTTATACAAGCAGGTACATGGGGGCAACCATATTTGACTATTACATACTGAGGTTCTGCTTCCTGCTTTGAGATGTTAAATAATGGTTGTGCTTTATTGCTCCTCCTCACAATGCAAGTCTATGAATCAGCCAACTCACTAAAAACAATGCACTCCCTGTGTGGCTGAAGTACTACGTTGACCGTTGCTAAAGAGGAACTTTACCCATATCTTCAAAATGATACAAAGGCACCTTTAGAAATGTTTAGTGATGAGAAATCTAAAAACACATACTTTTAGATAATTCCGGCTTTTTATTCTATGCATAACCTTATTTTTCTTTTCTTCCTAGTCTTTTGACAGTGGCCTTTTTAACTAAGGGCAGGTTACTACAGTAGAACTCCCTTTACTTCCTGGAACTCGGGCACATGTGACTAAGACATGTGACCATGCCAATCATCTCAGGGGAGGAAAATGACTTTCCCTGAGATCTCATGAGATGACAGATGAGATTTTCCAGCAATGCTCTGCTGATTAAACTTTCCCAGGATGCAACGCTTAAATATTTATTATAAGTTAAAAAAAAAACAGTGCAAAAAACATACAAAACTTGTAAAGAACATTACAATAATAACTCAAAATATGTACTTGAAAAACAAGTTTTCTGATAAAAACAGGATTTTCCAACCTGTTTTTATCAGAAAACTTGCTTCATTCGGTCTCTAAAGATGCAGACATCAAGATCCTGTCCCCTCTTAATCACCTAATTTCTGGAGTGAACACGTTTAAATGTTGCAGTCTTGCCTCATAGCTTTGGTCATCCATCCCCTTTATTAGATTTGTTGCCCTTCCCTGCATTCCCTCCAGTTCAAGGACATCCTTTTTTTTTTTGTGGATTGGTGACCAAAACTGAACCGCATACTCCAGATGAGGCCAAACCAGTGTTTTGTAAAGCGGCAGAATTATTGCTTTGTCTCTACAGTACATCCCTTTTTTATGCATGATGGTACTCCGCTAGCTTTGTTTGCCGCCGCCTGACATTGCATGCCATCTTTTAGTCTGTAACTATGTCTGCATTATCTAATATGGTTAACTCTAGTGTAGCATTCATCCTGGTTGGGACTTCCACCATCTAATCCATGAAATTGTCCCGCAACAAGTTTAGGAAACGGCCAGCCTTTGTCTAGCCAGACACATTTGCTGGTTTCACTGAGAATCTTCCACTTTACTGCCCAATCTTCTACTTTACTGGCAATGGTTGTATTTTGTAACACGGTAGAATGGCATTTCTGTGGTTCTTGACTATTCTCAGTTCAGTTGCATGGAAACCTTAATATGTGAAGTCACGTTTCTTTCAGGTGCATTCAGCTTGCAGTTGAAAGAGTTTTTTGGCAGGAGGATTTGACCTGCAGCTGGCCTCCTCCTGACCAGCATCAACATGCTTTTTTATACCCAGTTGACAAACAGAAGCCCGTGTACACAGGACAATAATGATTCAACATCATTTTTTGACTTTAAATTAAAGTAAAAGGAATGTGGTGGAAAACCTTTCCTGTGTGATCCAGTTGCGATATTTGTAGTCATCTTGTATGAACATATTTATAAAGGAGATCTATGAGGTGAGTGATTTCCACTCATCCTTCTAGTTAGAGCCGACCTGTGACAATGAAACTGTTACAGTTTGGCTCTATCGATCGGAATTGAGCAGAAACATGCACTGATCTGCTCACTTTGCGATCGTCTCCTTGCAGTGAACGGAAACCGCCAGGCACCGCTCCCCGCAGGGATTCCCCGCCCCTCTCTGATCCTCCAGCGCTAAGTGGAGGAACGGACGGGGGAAGGGGCGGGCACAGCTGGCTCTGCCTCTAGATAGGCAGAGCCAGCTGTCACTCACACAGCTGGGTGGATCTCGACATTAATGTCGGGATCTGTCCCGGCTGCGCCGCTCTCAGTATATCGTGGGCAATAGCCTACGATATACTGAGCTTTGGGTCACGGGAGGACGCTAGTATATGTCCTCCCATGACACTAAAGAGAACTATGGGGAAAAACACACCGCATAGTTCTCTTTTAAAATGACCTATGTGTGCATTACAGCCTTCTTTGTGTAACAGAATCATTCTGAATAAAGTAATGTGTGTTCCCATCATTTTAGTTCTCGTTTTACGCGCTAATGCTCTTTAGTCATATTTCTCTTTTCCCTCGTGTAAAGCAGTAAACACCATTAACGTTTAGCACTATGGTAATGTTGTGTTGTTCGTTCATAATATATGATGCTATGTGTCCCACATATTCAGTTTAAAGCTGAAAGAAATTCTGCTGGATGCGGGTGAGCTCTCACCCTAAGGTGCAATTATATATATTTGCACAATATGTCACACTTACGTCTCAGTGTGCCCTCCGGCAGTGGTAACAGGTCTGGTCTCCAGTCACTGATCTGTCCGTTGCCAACTTCTAAGGCTGCTGCTTCTGGGTCCTGCTATTCTTTTCGGCCATTGAACAGCTTGATGATGGGACATCTATTCAGGCACTCAGCTCTATTATCAGCCTGGGCCCTACAGTATGCATTCTGAGAAAAATGGGGGAAGGTTTTTTGGCAAAAAAGGCTTTGTATGTCTCTTTTGCCAACACAACTCTAATTACTAGTAATCCCTTCAGAGTGGGACCATAGTTCAGCTTTACCTAAACTTAGATACCTTTTTTAGAGACAAACCGGAGGTTGACACAACTGATTTCTTATTAATATGATAGTTATCTGGCTCTCATGCTGACACTGTTACATTAGCGCTGCGTAACAAACCTTAAAACAAGTATATAGATAAGGGCTCTGACCTTCCTGATCGATAATACTTGCTTTAGGCCAGTGATTTAAAGTGTTGAAGCCTAGAGGTCTGCATAAAAGCCAGACAACAAGCATTTTCAGGAGGAGGTCAGCAATGGCAGTCCCCATTTTTCGCTTAGACAAAAGGTTAACTTGAATGTACCACTATAGGGAATATACTGTATTCTGGTAACGGTTTCTGTAACTGTTTTCTCTCATTTCACTTGCTTAGATTTTCAGGTTTTATTTACAAGGTTTAAACCATTCTTCCCCAAGTGCTAAAGAAACCTGTTGCCGTAAATGATTAAAAAGTGGTAACTGGCTTTAATTTGTTGATAGCTTGAAGTCCTTTTAGAGTGAAGCAAAACCCAAGAGTTACATCTTAAAAATGCATTCCAGTACCTTATTTACAAAAATCTACCTTATTTGTGTATCACTCGGCTGTAGATCCTCAAATCATCTCTGAATTGGTGCTGACACTGTCCTTCCTTCTGGAGGGTGGCTACTTTTGTTCCCCATGGTCCGTGTGTGTGTTGTAAAGTAGTCACCGTTCCAAGCTCACTCCCGTGATGGACTACAAGCTCACAAATTTCACATTTGGTATACTAATTTGTATTGAGATTGTAGTCCATCATGGGAGCGAACTTGAAGCAATGGCTAATTTATAACACACACAGGGACCCTGGGGTACAAAAGTAGCCCCCCTCCAGAAGGAAGGACAGTGTCAGCACCAAGTCAGAGATGGTTTGAGGATCTACAGCCGAGTGATACACAAATAAGATACATTTTTGTTAATAGATGAGGTACTTGAATGCATTTTTAAGATCCAACTCCTGAGTTTAGTGTCATTATAAAACTACATGTCCATCTATGACTAGGATGACATCGCTGTTGTTCAGTTTCGTAGCAGAAAGAACAACGTTGTGACCCTGTTAAAGGAAGTGGAAAAATAATCTTTAGAATCAGCATAAAGCGCCACTCATACGCGAACTGCCAAAGTAACATGATGCCCACATTAAATGTTAGGATGATGACAACTCACAATTATTTAAAGAATCCAATGTTCTAATGCACTCATTCTGACACTTCTCTTTCAGGCGCTTGTTGACATATCACCAACAGTGTTCATTTATTGACTTCATAAATGAATAGGACTAAAGTCAGATTGTTCTGCAAAGTTATAATATCTTACTCCTTCAGGCGGGTGTGATGTGAAAGTTTTTGTAACTTTTAAATATTGAGATAAACCTGAATTACTCTACTACATCTATAGCAGTAGTTACATCTTTTCACACATCAGAATCACACCTCTTCTAAGTTGCCTAATGGTTGCAGGTTGCGTAGAAGAGCTTCTGACACTGAAACTTCAATTCACTCAGGTCCTTTGTTCACATTTTACAGGCTATTAAAGCAGACCTGTCACTCAAAACTGGAATGAAAGCCTTCAGTGTCGAACTGCGTCAAACTGCAGAGAAAAAAAAAAAAACGGTCTACCTTTCGTCCTACAAAAATCGACATTTGAACATGTGTTATGTGACTGAAAGAGAATCTGTCATTTTACCTATTCAAAGCAAATTGATATGTTCTGTTAAAAGCTCACTCCACTATTTAAAAGAGAACTACGGGGTAAGTGTTTTTCCCTATAGTTCTCTTTAGGGTCACAGGAGGACATATACTAACCTCCTCCCATGACCCAAAGCTCAGTATATCGCGGGCTATTGGCTGAGAGCGCTGCAGCCGGGATGGATCCCGACAATACTGTTGTGATCCACCCAGCTGCGTGAGTGACAGCTGGCTCTGCCTATCTAGAGGCAGAGCCAGTTGTGCCTTCCCCGTCCGTTCCTCCACCCAGTTCTGAGGAATCGGAGGGAAAATCCCTGCGGGGAGCAGTGACTAACAGTCACCGCTCACTGCATGGAGACGATTGGGAAATGAGCGGAACAGCGGCATGTTTCTGCACACTTCCCGATCAGTAGAGCCGACCTGTGACAGCATCTTTGTCACAGGTCGGCT